CAGGGGACCCTCCCTTTGAACATCCATCCCAGCACCGGCAGTCGGGGTGCCAGGAGGAGCTGTGCTTCGGTACCAACCACTCCCAAAGCAGCTCAAACCCCTTCATAGGCTGCCAAGATCTCTTTCTCAGTCAGAGTATAGGGGGCCTTGGATCCTCTGTATCCCTGCCTCCAAAACCCTAAGAGTCGACCTCGAGTCTTCCCTGGTGCTTTCTGCCAGAGGCTCCAGGTAGGGCTGTTCTCCCCAGCTGTGGTGTAGAGCACATTTTTTATATCTTCCCCTGCTCAGACTAGCCCAAGGGCTACTGCATTAACTATCTCATGTTTAATTTGTTCAAAGGCTTGTCATTGCTCAGGGCCCCATCTGAAATCGTTCTTTTTCCGGGTCAGTACATGTACATATGTATGTATCAGCAAAGTACCCACAAGTAGAGAAATCCAGTACTAAATCTTCAAGCTGATTAAATCATATGCTCCCAGACAGGTAGATTAGGTTTATCCAGAATATATATGAATTTGAAACTTTCATAGGTCACGGTCTGCCACAGCACGCATCACAACTGTGGCCGAGATGCAATACGAGTCTTTCACTCTATAGAGACCCACTACCACACAAAGAAAGAGAAAGGACAATAAGATAGGATGGCCATCAGTTAAGTCCATCATTTGAGACCCTTTAGCTCAAAGGTAGTTCCCAGAATATGGCCTACCTGAGAGACTTCATTTTACGGTCAGACATACTAATTGGATTGGTAGGCAGAAGAAATTTTTGAGGGTTTTTCCAGACTGTCCTGAATAAGACATGGCCTTTGTCAAAGCTTTAAGGGCTCAATGAAAACTGAAAGTACCTGATATCAGGAAAGCATGCAAAAAATCCCTCTTTCCTGCTGTTTTTGAGTTGCATATACAAGATGCACCAGAACAGCCATGGAAATTAATGTTCATTTAAATTGGTTCAACTAGGCATACTTCACATGTTTTAATCTTCCCACCCGAGGAGACCTCAACTAATCTAATGTATGCACATAATGATTCTTCCTTTGTTTAACAAGTCATTTATGCAAGAAGAACATGAATTTGAAACACTAACCTAATCTCCTCCAGCATCAACAAGAGTTATGTCAGGTTGTCTGTATGCAAGACGTAATTTGCTGGCTGTTGTTTCTTTCAGCAGCCAAATGATTTTCATGAACGACTGCTTTCTGCAATGAATCTCCTGTAATTAAGCCAGCTTTTCATATATTTTGCATTGAACTTAAACACAGGTCAGTTGAAGCAGTCTTTGTCTCCAAATTAGCATTCTGTGGACAAAAGCTTGCATGCCTTTGTGTTGCTGAAAGTAGTTGCTACCAATCTGTCATCGGCCAGCCCATTTCCTAAGTGCAAAAGACTGTTTCTCCTTTTCTCCTCACTGTTGTTACTCAGATAGGAGCAGTTTTCAAATTAATTTGTAGTGGTATGTATTACTATATCCCTTGAGCTAAACGTGCCCCCCCCCCCCCCCCCGCTTTTTTTCCCCCCCACGTGTGCAGCAAGTAACTGATCTGGTCCAGAAGGGCTCAAGGGTCTGGAGTAGGGAATATTTCAACAATCCACACGGATGCAAACAGCTTGTCCAAGGAGCGGTAGGGGCAAGACTCAAGTGGCAGTATACCAACTGTGTCTATTAGGCTTAAATAAAGTGTGATGCAAACTAGAACTTTCATTATTTTTTAAGAAAAGATATGATAACTTTTAAGCCGTGGAGACTTAAAAGAAAAAAGTTGGAGGTGATAAGGTGGAGACTGAACCATTGGAGTGGCCGGAGCAGAAACAGAGCTGTGGCACTTACTTACCTTGCAGAAAGAAAGAGAGGCGCAAAAGTGCTCCCATCTCTCTTGTCGCATGACTGCGAGGTGGAAGGGAAGGTGCTTGTGGCCCCTGCTCAGGACGCTTTTACACTTTGTGCAATGGAGCTGGGGGTCTCCCTAGGTTAGTTTGGTGAACCTGCATTTATAAACACCATGCTTTTGGTATTGTAAGTCATACAGCTATCCTGTGACTTCAATTACGTATAAAATCCAGTCCCTCTGAAGTACAGAAACCTCATCACATACGCATCTATGTCTGGATGACGGAAATGTTTGTGCTGCTTGTTCAAATAGGTAGACTGGTGCCTTAGCAAAAGATACAATAACAGCTAAGATCTTTGAAGAGCTCCATTTTGAGGGACTGTTATTTTTCATGCTGTTAAAATTACTTTTCATCAATTACTTCAATATTTATTTGTTCAAACCAAAAAAATAATCCTGGGGACACTGATAATCTACTTATTTGGAAAAATACATGTTTAACAAAATGTACCGCTCAGAAATAAGCCTTTTATAAAATCTTGAAATATTCAGTACAGGGAAACACCCAAATCCCACAGAATTCACTGAAAAGAACAGGGTGAATTTCAATAGGCTTTTGTTGATTAGGCAATTGTGGAGGTAAATACTTTCTACTGCCACAAAAGCTCTGCTTCCTTGCTTTGTAAGAACAGCATGATTAGAAATACAAAGATTACAGAATACACCAAGCAAAATCCTTCATTAATAGCCTATAGAGCCCATTAAAGGAAATAAGTCCAAGAACTTTAAAGCTTAAGTTGACAATCAAACCGAGATAGCAAAACTGAAAAATGTGTAGCATGTAAGAGGGATAAGATCCATGCCAGTCCCAGTCAAGAAACTTTATTCTCTTTATTCAGAGCTTTTCCCTGCCCATCCTCTGGCTTGCTAACCTGAGAGTCACTTGCATATTCGTTGATGTATTTATGTTTTGCTGCGTCAAGCATGCCCTTTACATCATAAGAATGGCTTTAATTACTGATTAAAAAAAAAAAAAAATTTACCATTACCATCTGATGATGTGGTCTCCAGACAGAACTTTGCCAGAACCCTGTGTGATGGCAGCAGCACTGAGGAGCACACCTGAGCGTGCTTTCTTGTCCAGCCATAAAGATGGGGCGATCACCTTGGGGCTGAGTAGGGATCAGCAGCCTGGGCAAGGGCACGGGATCCTCATCGCCTTTCCTTGGCTGTGCAGAAGGGAGAGCCACTGCCCCGCCGCTGCTGTTGCTGCCTGCCCGGATCAGGCTGGAGCAAGCTGGGGACGCCTGCTCACAGTGCAGTCCAGCCTCCAGGTTAGCTCTTGGGACACGGCCTTAGCTAGTCCTGGATCTTTTGTCAGGCTGATGGAGAAGACATTCATTTTTGGTAAACAATGGGGGACATGGCAAAAAGAGGGCTTAGTACAACATTTTCATTCTGAGTAACAGTAAAGCCAATATAAGAAAGTTGCTATTTTCATTCTCCTCTGCACAGTTCTCCAGCAAATCGCCCAGAAAATATTTTCTCCTCCCTCCAAACTGTTTTTACAGCTACAGCTTATTGTGCACCTCTCCCCCACTGCAATCCTGTACATTTTTTCTAAATAATTCCCAGCAGAGGGAGGCATGGATGCTGACAGCATCTACGTCTTCCTAAGTTAGTGTTACAGTCTTGTTGGTTTTAGGGTGCTTTCAGAATATAGGTTTTATTTAAAACCTGGAAGTAGTTCACTCAGATCATACTTTCTCAAGGCAGCAGTCAAGAGAGAGCTTGGATCTACTTGGAAATGTTTTTTAAAAAAACACCCTAAATTGAAATTAATGTTGTTAGTGGCTTCTCATGCAGCTGACTCATGTTCTGAAGAGATCATAGAAAAAAAACATGAAATACTGTATTTTGTCTTCCACACCAGGTTGCCTGAAAGATCTTTTCAAACAGCTATTCCTCTTTCAAATCACTCTATAAATTGTAAAACGTTTGATTGAACACTCTACCTGTTACTTTGCAGAAACAGAAGGAAGTCTTGTCAAAAGAGCGAGCCACCGGAGCTGGGCAGTCACAGTGCCCAGCAGCCTCAGCAGCAGTCAGGACAGCAGGGCGGCCTGGCCGGGAACATTACTTAGAGCAAAACATTCATCGTACCCCTGCAAAAGTATAGCATCGTCATAAAAAGTGGATCTCAAGTGCTGCTCAGCTGACACAGCGGACTTGGAACAGTGAAGGGCTCTTCAAAAATGTGATGAAACTAAGGAGGAATTTGGACTCTACCTTTAGCAGTGAAAATACAAATGAAAACATAAAAAGCTCCCCCTGCTCAGCTGTGATTGAAGTGTGACATATTCAAAATTCAGGGAGTTGTTTTGGGGTTGTTAGCAGCACAGACTTGGGAAGAAGGCCCTCCTGCCGAAATAGGCACCATGGAGCAGAACGAGCATTCCTACCTCCAGCAATAGGGCTGCAGCATCCACCGGGGTGGTGGTTCTGTTGATACATTCAGTGCATATGGTTAATAGCATCTGTCTTCTCGGCTGATTGAAGGAACATCTGTCCAACTTACATTGGACATTGAGATTAGTAAAGCAATGTAGCATCATGACAAATTATTTTAGAATTCTATGATTATAACCAAATGAGAAAGTCTAAAATCCTGAATTTTTAGACACGGTGGATTTGACAATTATACTAATCTCTTAGGCACTTATCCCCTAAGGAATTACGTCATTACTACTCCACAACCTACAAATGAGTTCTCTATTTCTACAGACCATGGTTTTGATACTCGACAAGACATCAGCAGATACAGAAAATCTGTCCATTTAGTACGGTGTCTGATAGGTACAATTTTTTTCAGCTTCTCAGTTCTTTAGCATCTATAATATTGTTTTTTCTACATGTATCCTTTCTCTCTGCACAAGTTTATTTTTTCTTTTCTTTCTTACAACCTTTAGCTAATGTCTCGCTGAACTGCAAATATTATTGTAAATAAACCATAGCAAGGTCATTTGGTTAAAAGCAGAAAAGGTTATATTTGACAGTATCTAGCACATTATTTCATGGGAGTTTCTTACAGATGGTGCACCGGACTCAGTTTTGTTTAACATTGTCAGTTGTAGTCATTCACATGCTTCGATGATTTTTTTTTTCTAGGTACACGAAAATGAAGACTGCCACCAATATCTATATTTTCAATCTTGCATTGGCAGATGCCCTAGCAACAAGTACTCTGCCATTCCAGAGTGTCAATTACTTGATGGGAACATGGCCGTTTGGCACCATCCTTTGTAAGATTGTTATATCCATAGACTACTACAATATGTTCACCAGTATCTTTACACTCTGCACCATGAGTGTGGATCGCTATGTAGCTGTTTGCCACCCAGTTAAGGCCCTTGATTTCCGTACCCCCAGAAATGCCAAAATTGTCAATGTCTGCAACTGGATTCTTTCTTCTGCCATCGGCCTGCCAGTTATGTTCATGGCAACTACTAAATACAGGCATGGTAAGTCTGGCTTTCATTTCTAAATTGAGTATTTCAGTGTTTAAACTCCTTTCTGCATTGTTTCACTTTATTGTAGAGGGCTTGAATTAACTTCTGACCTCAAACCTGTACAAAGCAGGTGTCGGTGCAAATGGACCCCTTCAACAATTTTGCATCTGGCTGTAGTTGACCGGACACAACACTGCACATGATCTGTCTTTTACAGCAGGCAGCTCCAGCTCCTTCTGTGGGTCCGTGCGAGCCTCCCTGCCCCACACACCTACTGTAGTGTTTGGAAAAGCATCTGTGCCTGCCTGCCTTCTGCTGTGGGGCAGTTACGCACTGTCCTACAGCACAGAAGCCAGTGCTTTACCCAGGATATTCCCACTGGAGTTAGCGATCATAGATATGTCTGGCAGGACAGAGCAGAGAGTATGTTCTGGATGACTGGTGCTCAAAGACCTCCCATGAAGTGACAGCATCTCAACATAAATCCAGAGCCTCCCTTGTGCAGTCACCAAGTGTCATGTCATTCTCTTCCCCATTGCCCTGAAATGCCCAAACTCTCAGCAGACACAGGGCTTAAACCACCTTTCTTTTCACCAGGTTTTATACTGAAAGTGAAAATGAATCAAAGCTCAAGCATTTATGACAATTCAACTCTTTTTCTTGCATTTTTCTTGCAATTCTTTCTACATGCAATTCCAAGCAATAAAATGCAAAAGAGAACATGTTACTTTGGTTTTGTTTTTCTAACTCACACTTCACAAAATGTTTTGCAGCACTGTCCCCTATGAGTGTTTGTGCCGATGATGGGTCACAGATTGCTTCATTTTCCCTATTTACTTAGTTAATCTTCATATATTTACCTGTGATATTTAATAAAAAGTGTTTAAAGACAAGCAAATTAAAAACTGACCCACTTGTTCTTCTCTGCTGTTTTCCTTTTTCTCCAGGCTCTATTGACTGCACACTTACATTCTCCCACCCTGCATGGTACTGGGAGAACCTCCTAAAAATCTGTGTGTTCATCTTTGCCTTCATCATGCCCGTCCTGATCATTACCGTGTGCTATGGGCTGATGATTTTACGCCTGAAAAGCGTTCGCATGTTATCTGGCTCCAAAGAGAAGGACAGGAACCTGCGGAGAATCACGAGGATGGTTCTGGTAGTGGTGGCGGTGTTCATTGTCTGCTGGACTCCCATCCACATTTATGTCATCATTAAAGCCCTGGTCAACATCCCAGAAACTACTTTCCAGACTGTCTCCTGGCACTTCTGTATTGCTCTAGGGTATACAAATAGCTGCCTTAATCCAGTCCTTTATGCATTTCTAGATGAGAATTTCAAAAGGTGTTTCAGAGAGTTCTGCATCCCCACTTCCTCAACCATTGAGCAGCAAAACTCCACCCGAGTCCGACAAAACACTCGTGACCATGCTTCCACTGCCAACACTGTGGACAGGACTAACCATCAGGTATGACTAGCGGTGGAGATGTCATCTCTGGATCCAGGCCTCCCGCTTGGAGATGACATGTATTCTGAAGTTACAGTTTATACTGATTTGTAGCTATTTGAAGGTCTAAACACCTTCAGGGTTACATTCTAAACCAGTGTACGCATACATAGAGACCCCAGTCCTGCATGGTGCTAGTTGTTCTCTCTTCCAGTCGATGCTCAGAAGCTGAGGGCTTTCAAAGGTACCTTGCATGATCGGGTCCAGCGTGCATGCGTACACAAAGCACACAAAACAGTGGTTCATTTGGAGGCTGTTGCCAACAGGTGACTCCTTGAGAACTGGTTGGAGACTAATCACAGATTTCTCTTTTCATACTCCTTGTCTGCTGACGTAGACAGGAGTGGGACAGAATATAAATCTTCTCTTCTTCTCCCATTGCAACAGTGAATAAAAAAGAGAAGAAACTGTGCTTCTACACTTTTGATTGATGTACATAGAAGGCCTACCTGGCCTTGTTTGTCCTGGAAGACATGCAAGAAGTAGACAAAAGCTTGTCTACGTGTAGTTCTTGTATCAGATAATTATCTGTGTTGGCTAAGGTGGGTTTTGAGATACATTTATATATATGTATAAATACACACATGTTGAGGAGTATTGTGCCATTTTGCCATTTAAGGTATACTGAGAATATACCTTTTCCATGTAGAAAAAGCCTTTGAGAAGTAGAGATTTTATGGCACAGTAGATACCAAGAGAAATAGGTTTAATTTTTTTGTTTAATTCAGGCTATTTTTCTTAGCTTTTGCAAAGAAGCTCTTCTGTTACATGTTCAACATCCACATTCCTGTGATTAGTCCTGAGAATTTCCAATCCCTGTCCCTCAGTGAACATCAAGCAAAACATGAAAGCCAGTCTTAACATTCATGAAAGTAACTCAAGCGCATCACAAGCACTAGAAAAAGTTTGAGTCGTCTCTGTAATTCATTAGAAAGAACAAAAGGCACAAGCCTAGTTCATTACTTGCAATATCACCTTTCAGCAACATACTTAGGTTGCTCCTGCACCACTTTCTCACTGCTGCCACTTCAGCCACAAGCCAGCCGCCTCCTCAAGGTACAGAAGTCAATGGCTTCTTGTGAAAGCAGTTGCATACCTGCCACTCCGCTGCTGCCAGAAATCCCCAATCAGAACATGACCACCTCCATACAGACAAAACATTAATTGCACCAGAAAAGAGGAGGGAGCAGGCTGAAGGGAGAAGGGCTAAAGGGAGAAGCTTTATTAAGCATCTGCTCTCAGTGGGGTCGTTCACCAGCATCTGATCCATACATGCCAAACCGTGGCCTGTGAAATCAGTTAGCACCTGCTCAGTCTCACGCACACTGTGGTGGTGGAGCAGAACTGCCAACCTTGGCATAGGCACATACATATATATGCATGTATGTATATACGTGTAGTATTTACTAGGTGTAGCAAAAAATTGTTAGACAGATTCAGCTGTTAATAATGCCTTTGCATCCCTCCCTGGAGTCAATTTTGTGCATGTGTCTGGCAACCGGATTGTATCTATAGCTAGTACGTTTCCAACTTTTTATGGTTCAGTGTGTATGCACACATTTTCTACGTTTAGTTATGTATCTTTATGTTATTTTTAGGAGAGCTGTAGCCTTCTAAACCTCTACCCTTAGCAAAGGTTAATATGGTACTGCCCAGAAGCTGAGGGAACCCTGGGCACTGAGCAAACACAGAATGGAAGATGATCCTTCCCACAAACGTCTTTCAACTTACACCAACAAGGGAGAGAGCCAGCTGAGGCAACGATGAGCCAAGCAAGTGAAGCGAGCTTTACAGTGGCCATAAGGAGGAAGCTGGTCTCATAGCTGCATTCTTTGTCGGTTGGGTTTGAGGTTTTTTTCCATTTAGGGAATAGTGATGAAATTAGTTAAGAGATAAAGCACATGCAAAGAGAAGTGAAGGGGAAGACACTGAAGGGAAAGGGAGGTGGGAGGAAGAGTGCAGAGGAGAAAGGGGAACGTCAGGAATGAGGTCCGAGTGAGGCAGTAAGGAAGGAAACTGAAGCAAAGGGCCAGTATGCATGGAATAAAAAAGGTGTGTGCAGAGCCATAAGAAATTGTTTGACTACACAGCTGTGACTACTTTGGTAGCTCTTCCTAGCGACTAGACATCAGTTTTTCCCAGGGCCGGGGAGAAGACAACACTTCGAAGCTGAACCCTGATAGATGGGTGCATAGGTCTCTTTGCATGGTCTGGTATTTGAAAGAATTTGAAGTGACCGCAAAATGGTCCCAATTTCACTTCCCTCACCACCATCCCTGCAGTCCTTGCTTTGGCTGCTGCTGCTGCTGCCACTGGTTTATTTGTGCCGGATGTGCTCGCTGGATGCTGCCCTGAGCCTTCCCACTGCTGCGCTCCCTGGAGTACAGCACACCAGCTATCGGGCACAGTCGTTCTCACTTTCCACATCATCTACTGAATACATTCACACCAAGCCATATACAAACCTGAATATTAAATTGAATTTATTTTTTTTTGTCCAGCAAACATTTCGGTAAGAGAACATTTTTGTTGTCTGCTACTATCAGAATGACAGACAAGGTTGTAGGACTAATCTACACCAAAAAGGTTCTTTGGGGTAGTACTTACAAGTGTAACATCTAATTTTTTTTTTTTTTTTTTTTTTTTAAACAGAGAAATCCCTAGGGTGAATGCAGCTTTTGTTCTCAGAAAAGAAAAAGAAAAAAATGAATAAAAAAACCCCAAACAAACCACTATTTGCTCAAACAGTGAGGTTTTGTAAATTCTATTGACAGGGCATTCTTTTCACAGGTAGGTGCTTTCTGTACAGGGAAGTCTAGCTAGTGTTTCTGTATCGATCTAAGTATACTGACAAGCTCGTTCTTGTATAGACAGGGCCTTGGAGAGCATTTGGTATGAATTCTGATTGCAAGGCTGTATAGTACTCGGCACATTTCACGTCATTTTCGAAGAAACAGATGTTCTACAAGTTGCTTTTTTGCCAAGCGAGAATTCTTTATTCCTGCTAAAGTTAATGAGAACTACAAGCACTCAATCACTCAACAGCTTAGGGCCTCACACTCTTAAAGCACTTTAAAAAAGCCTTCACTGGTGGAAGGAACAACTGTGGTTTCTATCAGTGCAAAAGCACTAACAGGAATCATAAATATTCATATTATTCTGAGGTAAGATATGGGCCTTTGGCCTACTCAGTGACTCTTTGGCATTACCAAAATGATCTAGATTAAGAATTTGATTATTGCTTTATCAGCATTTACAAAATGTGGAAGGACAGAACAAGTTCAGAACTCCTCCAGAAACGCAGCTTCTTTCAAATGCACAGAGCGGCATCCACGCCGTAAGGCTGATGGTGTGAGCGTTTGCAGAAATGGCACCTGCTCAGCGGAGCAACACGGTTCTGAGGGAGGAAGGATGGTGGTTAATGAGGTGTGCAAAAACGGGAAGCATCCTCAGGCTGAGATGTTTCACCTCCCCCAGGGGGGATGTATCCTGCATTGCACTCCACTAACTCCTCTGGTAAAACGCATGGGTTACATTTATTCCAGAGTGAGCTTCAAGGCTTGGCTCACTTTAATTTTCAGGAGGGCACATGCCATCTTCTAGGTGCACAAAGGGTTAAAACAAGAGCAGGAGTGATGGAACCCTGGAAAAATTGCTTGCAGAGCAACACTGGTAGGGAATGGTAATAAAGGCCCAAACACTAGCTTTTGCAAACGGCTGTGGTTTTTTGATGTCTTTGACATTAACCTCATTTGTAACAAAGACCTTAATAAGTACTTTGAAATACCTTTTACTTCAGATGCACTGCATTGATTTATGTCTAAGATTAAAAAAAGTTTGAATATTTTTTAAAATTTAAAATTCATAGATAATTCTTTTTTTCCTGAAAACTGTGTTTTCCAAACACCTATTATTTTTATTAATATCTATGCGTTAATAACAACAAAATCCCAAATACTTAGGAAAATGGATTATTAATCATTATAGAAATCTGAGAAATTTATTTCAGTGAGTTAGTTTCTTTGTGACCCATTTAAGTTTATATAGCAGCCTCACCTGAACGTATCCAAGCAACTAAGCAAATTATGTATAGGCACATTTTCAGGACTATTTAGTCATCCTAGGTAACTATTTTTTTGTATTTTTAGCTTCTGATGCTTTCTCCCTAACCACTGAAGTGTCTAAATGCCATAATGGAAGCTGCAAATCCTCCTCGTATGCCGAAAATGAGGCCTCGAATATGTTCAGTAACCAGAAGCTCTGGTATTTGTGCTCAGCCCTGAAAGCTTTGCCCTTATTGCTTGGATTGGCAGCCCCATGTAGAAATAACAAGGATATTGGATTAAAGAAAACCTGTTTTTAAGTTGAAACAAGGAAAAAATGAAAGCTGGTTTCACTTTGATTAAATAAATGAAGAAAGTACTTTCTTACATTTTAGTTTTCCCAGTGCTATATGGCAGATTGCAGACAAATATGGGGAATGCTGGCGAGTCCTATGCAGAAACATGGCAAAAGCTGGGCAGATGCTGTAACTGCAAACCTTGGCAGATTCACATCTATCTGTATTAACAGAGAATGGCCTTCCTGTGTATTTTTAGAAAATGGGCATATCTCCTTTGTAAATAATACTGTATTTCAATAATAATTCTCAAGTATTGATTTCTTATAAAGCCCATTTCTGGCAAGATAATGACATCTATGAAAAGCTTGTCTAAATTCAATAGATCCTTAAAACTGGGCTTTCTTTTGTAGCTGATTTGCACTGGTCTGGGTCCTTTGCAAATCTTCTGGGTAGCAGAGAAAACAGAATGTGTTTGTTGGATTATTTCATGAAAGGAAACAAGAATAAACTATTCTATGAGGACCAGAACTAATTAGGTGGCTTCTAAGGTCGCCTGTGTTTGTGGCATTCCTTAAACTGTGAATTAGAATAAACAGGCAACAAAGTGTTTCAATTTTTTCCTCAATAAATTAGAAAATATTCACTGGTAAAAAATCACAAAATGAATGCTTCTATTTCATCTAATCCATAAAGATAAGTGAATGCAGACTTCAAAATTCATTTCTGGATCTAGACTTCTTCAAAAGACAGGGACATTCATAGAATCATCTCGGTTGGAAAAGACCTTTAAGATCATCAAGTCCAACCTTTAACCTAGCACTGCCATCCCACCGCTAAACCATGTCCTTGAGCACCTCATCTACCCTTCTTTTAAATACCTCCAGGGATGGGGACTCAACCACTCACATATAGGTTCAGGTCAGTTTCTGGCCAAAAGGAGCTGAGGAGAAATATTCCCAATACAGAATAAAGAAAATCCCTAAATATAGCATGTTAAATTGACCAAGCATTCAAGTTATATTGTGGTCTTGGAGAAATTTGTCTCCAAATGTGAAGTCCTAACAGCCTTCACTCTGCCGAACGTGCTTGGAAAGCAATCCAGTTAGAAAATGCACTTTCCTTCTCCCTGCCTCCAAATCCTTACCCATGTCCCATTAATTTTACAGGAACGCATCCCCTCTCTCGTCTCAGTCAGGCTGCACCTGCGACTTTACTTTCCGTACCCTGTAAACCTTTCATTCACAGTGTCTCCCACCCTGTTTTCAACAGGTTCTAGTGCTGCAGGACAACATTTGCTGGGTAGTAAAAAGGGTTGTAGGCTTTCAGGACGTGCTGTGCAGTAAGCAGATTTTTCTTGACGAAAACCATCTGTAGCGCTGTTGTGCCTGTGTGCAAATAGGATTTAACATGGATACTGTGGGCACAGAGGGCTGAGAGGTTGTTGGATTTGGTGGCTACTCTTAAGTCCATCTCACACAGAATTTAAACGAGACTTCAACTGCAAGTCCAAAAGCTAGCCAATGTACTGATGTGAGCACAGAATGTATAGTCTAAAATACTAACTCCCCTGCAACTGCTATGAGAAGAATACAGGGAGGGAGTGAAATCCTTCCATACTAGCGAACTTCCCCTCTAGAAAGAGAACAACTGGTTTGGTCTGAAAGATATTTTAATCCTAGTTCAAATTTCAGATCTACTAATGTTTCTTTGTTTTTGAAGGCCAGGCATGAAACTTTTCTGCGATCATTTCCTCCGCCTTTGGTGCTTTGTGGCAAAGGCAGAGTCTTGCCTTGCTTTTTGGGCTACCTGCTTAGCTTTATATGGCAGGGCAGTAGCTGCAAATGAGAAGTACAGTTCCTCTTAAAAAAAAAAAACAAACAAAACCAAAACACACAAACACACATAAACTTGTGGGTGGGAAGAAATCAAGTAATTGTTCATTGTATTTGCAATTTCTTTCCTTTCAGTTGGAACTTCAAGAAGCTGAAACTGCTCCACTGCCGTGACAGGGTCTCCTGCCGCATAGCTCCCAAAGCAATTGCACACCAGCGCCAGAGTGTGTCTGGGCAGTATTCTATGGGAATGTGTAGCATACACTTTCCCCAAAAAAAATACCACAGAGGAAAGTGCCTGCTTTTCCAGTCTGTCAAAAATTGCTTCTGCAGCACTTCTGCATTGCTCATAACAGAAGCATGAACCTTAACAGCAAGCAGAGCCAAGAGGTACGGGGGCTTGCCAGGCTCCAGTGTTCAAAACAGTCATGTTTACCAGGAGCACACACATTAGTCTGAAACAAAGCTACCTGTAGCGATCTGCCATGCTCTTGACAAGTTACAGTGGCGTTAACCAGGTCGGAAACAAAAATTCAAAAGCTAGACAACTATACTTTGAAAAATGAAGGTGAACTTTTAATGATGGGAAATAATGGGAAATGAAGTTGTAATACTGCTGGGTACTCAACTTACTCTTAAAATTTATTTGTAGAGGTGTTTTCTGTGCAGGTTATTTGTGTGCTGAAGTCTCACGAGATCATCTAGAACAGCACATTTGCCGTTCAAGAGGTCTTCTCTTACAAGGATTGCATGTTCCACAAGTTCAAAGGGAAAATACTTCTTTCAGTGCTCACTTAACAAAAAACAGAACTCAAAGCTTCAACTTCTGCTTCTGTTTCTCACATAAAAGGTAGACTTTAAAATCGAAACAGTGAGCTATCACTTCTTCTAAAAGAAATTAATAAAGTATTCCATGCTTTTGTTGATTGTCAGATGATCCCCAAAACACCATAGACTCTATTAACATAAATTCCTCTCTGAACAGAAATCTAGCTACAAGCCTGCCAGAGCTAGCACAGGCTGCTGCTGATTTCTCTTTCAAGTAGCTTTTCAAATTTCAGCGACCCTGTCAGCAACATTTTGAACGTGTAAGTCATCAGTCATCGACAGTCCCTATGTGAAGTGCTTGGAGCAGTTAATGCGTTAAACCTTTTTTTTTAAAAAAAAAAAAAAAAAAAGTTACATTTTGCTAGACATCTATTTTTTCTTAACCACACCCATAATATGTTTGCTTTTCTAACTCACGTAATACAGTCTGCACCTCCATTTTGTACTAGCTGCTAAAACACATTAAAATTTATGAAAGAAACATTGTACTGAAGTAAATGCAACCTTAGCTGGTTTCTAGTATGAAAAATAGAAATATCCATGTAGATAATTTGTGGTGCAATGATATTTTCTAGCCGTTGTTTGTTACTTGCTTTGTAAATAAATCATCAGTAGCTAACCAGGGGAAAATGTACTTCAATGAATTTAAGTGTATTCTAAGATACAACTCTATGGACACATGGGTTTTTTTCTGTTTATTTCTGCAGCCAAAATGTATTTCTTATTTCCACTGTTAAAATTTATGTAACAATATGCTTTTAATGTGAAATTGTTTGTTTCTGCCATGGACTGCATAATAAAGATTGAACACCAAATCCTTGCAAGTTGTAAATTAAAGTAATATTTGAGTATCATCACTGTGTTGCAGCTAAATATGTAGCCCTATATATCAGCAGATACGAAACTAGATATAGAAGTGCCTTAATTTTTTTCCCCTTTTCTCTTTAAAATTCCACTGTGCTATGATAGGAATTTAATATTAAATTCTGTATTGTTTTAGCAGGATATCCTCATAGTCATCATTGAAGTTTAAACCAGAGTTGTCACCATTCTAAGAGGTTTTGCATCTAATTTTCAAACAGCGTAAGATAGCCACTTGGAAGAATTTGACATACGGTTTTGCACTACACAGCAGTATTATTTAGGTAACGAGAAGAATATAGAATACACTAGAAATGCAGATGGCTTAACATCATACGACATCATTACTATCTGATGGGTTCTGAGTAGTCTGCCATGAGCCCATACAACCACCTCACCAAAGGGAAATGCACTGAATGGCTATTTAAAAAGTCTTAACTGATAGATCAGAAATATGTTTAATTAAACGTAAAATCATAGTTTCATGACTAGTCAAAAGTTCATCAGCTTTCACAGAATTTCCCTAATGACTTGAAACCATTAATTCCTCTGTACTTGGAACGGAATGAAGCTCACAGGCAAAAATACTGTGACTTGCCAACAGACAGCTTAATATTTTAAAAGATATTTTCAGTTTCTACAGTCTAATAATTAATTGAGCAACCTGACTGTAAATATTTTTAGCAGTAGTAATGTTGTTGTAGCCTTGATGGTCTAAGGATATGAGGAAGCAAATGTTATTAGCAGAGCATTAGCAAAAATAAGTTAAATGTCTTATTTTTTTCCAGAAGGCTTGAATGTTCATTGGTAGTGCTTTGCAGTAAGTAGCAAATTATAACACAACTTTGTGTATCTGCATTGTAAAACTTTAATAAAAATGTTTGTGTTTCTTGTAGATTTGCAACATGCTGTATTCAAATACGCGTTGATTAACATGTTATGCCATATATTAATAGCTTGGCTTTAAAAAATGCCATGCAATCAACCGATACCAACACAACTGCCTTGAAGGTTCACAGATTGATTACCTGGCTGCTTTAAAGAATGTGCTTTATTCTTTATTTTAAAAAAGGGAAATCCCAACAGTTCATTATTTAAAAAAAAAAAAAAAAAAAAAAAAAAGCACACTGGTAGAATTTGGTTTTGATCCAAACCGCACACAACCCTCCTGTGCTGAGAACTTGCTGCAGGGGCTCAGCTCCAGGAGCCGGCCAGTGCGGGAGCCTGTCTCCGGCCACAGAAAGACAGCGTGAGCTGAGGGAAACTTTCCCTTTCCAGCTTCTGGCAGACAGAGGCTTCCCAGGCTCTTTCCTATAAAATTAACCTGGAACAGGCTTGCCTGTAACACTAAACCCAGAGGCAGGGTAGAGCCTGGTGCTACTGCCTGGCTCCCTGCTGACCTGCGTGCTCCTCCACAGTTTTGGAGGCTAAAAGAGTTTACTAGCTTAAATGCAAGCTGTTTTGTCCCAGTGTGTCTTGGTGTCCTGATGATGTTACCAGGCACATTTTCTCTATTGTTCTAGAAGTACTCATAATTTTTAAAAGACTCTGGTGAATTTTTCTTTATGGAGTGACTGAACAAATTCCTCAGTCTATAAATTGATAGAATCATAGAATCATTAAGGTTGGAAAACACCTCCAAGATCATCGAGTCCAACCATCAAACCAACACCACCATGCCTACTAAACCATGTCCCAAAGTGCCACGTTTACACATTTGATCTCCCAGTCACGCAATACCATGAGCTCTTTGTCACAGCTGGCCTAGCTTTGACTATTTTAAATAACTCTGTTTTCCCATAAACATTGTTACTTCAGTGCATGCCCCTCTTACATAAAACATGACAAGATGGACAACAACTTTCTGGGACATCACTGGAAACCTCCCTTCCACTTACTGTTTATTCCTACTGCTCATTTGTTGCCTTTCATTCAGTTACTAATTCATGAAGGATTTTTTTTTCATTTATATCATTATACTTTTTTTTCTTTAAAAGCCTTTGGTGACATACAGCATCCAACACTGTATCTCAGCTGGATCACTTTTTTCTGCATGCTCATCAGCTCCTCCAATGACCTCTGAAATGCTGGGTCAGTTCTTCGTTCTGCCGCAACTTACTACCTGTCTATCCGTTCTGCTTTTCCACTTACCTGGCTTCCTGAAAAATTAGAATTACCTGTCAGTAGTTCCCCTTTCTTCGGGCTCTTCTTTCTTTAAAAAAATAGGAGGTTCCCAATTGCTATGTATTTTTTGAGTTCTAACCCAGTTAGTAGCTCAGCAATTTCATACCGGAGTTCTTTTAGAACCCTTGAGTGAGTAACATCTGGCCCTCACTATTTGATCTTACTGGAAAACCTGATTTATCCTAAGCCACTTCAGCTGACACTTTATTCTGAGATGCCTCTTCAGGCTCCTCGTCTATGGAGGATGCAACACAGAAACTCTCCTCATTTCCTCTGTAGTGAACTCTCATGTGAAGGATTGACACATCTTTTCATTTTCCACCATGTCTTTTATTTCCCAGTTATTTATTGGACCATTGGCAGCCTTCCAGTCTGTCATGCTATGTTTACTCTAGGTCTGAATGTTTTTTCATATTGCCAGCATATAACAGGAGTAGTCAAAGAAGCTAAGTCCATAGCAAAAAAAGCTAACTACGATCTATGATTGCTGTCAGAGTCAGACACTGCATCGTTTGGAGAGATATCACAAATACCAGAGAAGTAACTTACTATATCCAGCGATCCCTTCAAAACACCATTGCTGTGATCCTGTGACTGCATAGTACAACATACAGGCCCTCAGTGAAGTTTTGGATATAGAAGAAAGCAAATATAGGCTCTATATTAACAGCCTTGCTTCATGTCCATTCTGCACCCACATTCCTCTGTGAATAGAAGTGAGATGAAGCAAGCCAGCAGCTGCTGAACACACTGCTCTCAGCCACTCTCCAGCCGGCATAAGTCCCTGGCGAAGAACCATTGTCCTTAATGACACAAGGCAAGGGGGTCCCGCATAGAGAAAAAAGATGGTGCAAAATTGCATCAATCCCTAAGTTCCATTTGTTTCAATAGACACTACCTGGCCAGAAAGTAAGTGAGCATCCAGACGTAGTAAACAATGCATTGGTGTCACGAAAAGATGGGGAGGTAGCACGAGAGAAACCACAGTAGGTTCAGTTCCCAGAGATACATTTGTAAGTAGTAGGCAGCCGCAATAGGTCAGCCCCCTGGGCCTGAAGTGTAGAGCATGGCCTGAACCGTGGTGCCATTTTGGGCAACACTGACAATTCAGTTTCTTCACACTTCAATCTTTCAACGATTTTGTTCCTTTGGAAGAAATGAAACGCCACTATGTGAGTTTACGCCTTCCCTGATGCACCATCTACCGCCTGGGTAGGAAGCAGTGGGCAATTCTATTTATGATCCAAGGGCAACTGCACAGACTCTGCGCAGCTCCCCAGCCAGCCATGGCTGACCTCTGG